TAGTGATACTGCCTTGGAAACCCAAGGAGGGGTCGCTATGAGTCGGGGCCGACTCGACGGCACATAACAACAACAACAACAATGTATATGTTTTGGGGTTTTCTTTAACTCTATCATAACCTTATGGGACCACAGATGCATATATAGCTCGCTTCTGCCCAGACATTATGCACTGTATTACAATCTTGATTAAAAATTAAAATGTGCTAATCAAAAGAGAAAAACACATACAGTCCTGATGTGGAAACTCTGATGACAGTTAACATGCATCTTCTATTTTATTTTAGATTATTTAAAGTATTTAGGAAATACAAGGCATTTGGGTATACCTAATGTTGTGAGGAAAACAACATAGGAAGCCTGAAACTACTACTTTTAGAAAGCCTTGCTTGCAAAGTTAGTCTGTGACTTACGGTCTGGGAACTTAGATTTCAGGAGTGCTCCCCCCACTCCCTGGGATCACCATGTGTAAGCTGTATAAACAATGTGGCTTAAACAGAATACCTTCTAGACACATTTTTCTTCTTCTTGAAGTCTGCAGTTTGGGAACATGTTAGGCAGAGAGTGCCAACATGAGCAAGCAATCCCTGATAAAAACCCTAGGCACCGAGTCTCTAAGCAGGTTGTACAGAGAGATGTCTTTTCCCACAGTGACATAACAACTCACATTTGAACCCGACAGTCTTATTAATTGCATTGTCTATCCAAGGGATAAATCGGGAAAATATTTGTATCCAAGGTTCCCAAGACCACCCCCCCCAGGTTTGAGCATTTGCTAGGAGGACTCATGGTAAAGATATATTACAACAAAAGGATGCAAAGCAAAATCAGCTAAAGGAAAAGGTGCATGAGATGAACTCCAAAGGAAACCAGGTACAAGATTCCAAGACTCCTCACACAGGACACAATTAATTCCTCCAACAATAAGTTGAGATAACACATGTGAAATGGTGTCTGTCAAGGAAGCTCATTAATCTTGACAATGGCTAATCCTGGAGGGGGTGTTAATAGTTAAGTGCCATCAATGGATGAACAGATAAACTGTGGTACATGCACACAATGAAATATTATGCAACATTAAAAAATAATGAAGAATCTATGAAATACCTCAACATGGATGAACCTGGAGGACATTATGCTGAGTGAAATAAGTCACTCACAGAAGGACAAATATGGTATGAGTCCAGTATTGTAAACAGTCAAGGAAAGGTTTACACAGGGAAGGAAACTTTCTTTGTTGGTTACCAAGGATGGGAGGTGACGGGAGGGAAAATTGCTAGTTAGTTAAGAAAGGCATTAATTTGGGTGAAGGGAAAGGCAAAAGGAGGTGACCAGCACGATATCACTAAGGAAAAGGAAGACATGGAAAGGTGCACAAAGGGACAAACAACAAAGGTAAATACTACTACATATACAATATTGCATTACCGATAATAACATACATTAATCTACAGGTAGATACATAGGTAGACAGGCAACATTATTAGATGTGAGTAGGCAAATGGGAATATATCCATGACCATATATAGGTTTGGCAGATGATATTTCTGCATATGTATTTGTATGTGCTATAAGAATATGCACATATATAACAGAGCAAACAGAAGCAAAGTTATAACTTCTAAGCCACACCCAAACACCTTGAGGGAACGAGTTGCTGGGTCTGTGGGTTGGGACCATGGTTGGAGGGGACGTCAAGCTCAACTGGCAACAGCATAGTACACAAAAACTGTTCTACATCCTACTTGGGAGCTCTGATGACACAGTGCCTAAGACACTTGACTGCTAACCAGAAGTCTGGTGGTTAAAACCCACCAGCCACTCCTCGGAAGGTTGGGCAATCTATTTCCATAGTGATACCACCTCAGAAACCCAAGGAGAGGTTGCTATGAGTCAGGTGCAACTCAATGGCACATAACCAACAACAACAGCAACACATCTTACTCTGGTGAGTGACCAGGGTCTTGAAAGCAGCCATCTAAGATCCAACTGTTAGTGTCTCCTCACCCAGAGCAAAAAAGAACAAAGAAAATCAAAGACACATAAAAACAATTTGTCCAAGGAACTAGGGACCATGGGAACTTCAGCCTCTATGACCCCGAAACCAGAATTAGATGGTGCCCAGCTACCACTGTGGAAAAGATCAAATCTGGAGATCCTGGACAGAATATGAGAAGAATATGGAACAAAAAATCATTAAAAAGACCAGGCTTAATGGTCTAATAAAGATTGGTGAAACCTTCAAAACATGGTCCCTAGTCACCCTTCGGGCCTGGAATTCAACTCAGTCCTGTGGCTTACCTTTCATCCAAACAATAGACAGCACTACGAGGTGAAGAATTATACCAGGGAGGTGTACTCCTTAGAACAATCAACGAGGGGAGATCAGAAGGGCAGCATTTGTACAGGGAGACAGATCAGAACACAGGAATACAAAGGAAAGAAGGGCACGGAAAAGGTAACCACAGAGAGAAAGTGGAAAGAGAGCTGTTATATTTTTTTAAAAAAGGAAAAGAAAAGTTAGCTTGAGCAGATTAAAATAAGAAAGATATTGCAACAGACTGACAAATTTAGTGAGTGTGGACTATATAGAAAAATGAATCAAAACACTATTCTGGGCCCATGTAGTGACTGGCCATCCATCTCAGCAAGAGGAGCTCCATACTATGAAAGTTATGGACACAAATTCGGTCCCCAAATAGACAACTCAGTGCCCCTATTTCACAGTTTGTTTCCACAGTTGCCATATAATTGCAGATAATTAAGAAAAGCACAAGAGGATCTAAATAATATGCTCTGCATAAAAGTAATCAGTAACTGCTGAATCCACAAATGTTGAGTAAGTGGATGGACAGAAAACCCATCAACAGTACAGGGGAGAAAAACCCTTCAAGCTTTTATCTTAGATTCTACTTTCTGCCTTAATGCAATAATAGTAAGTATTTAACATACTACTGTGACCTAACCCAGAGAGACATTGGAAAATAACTTTTCCTTGTACACAAAACCATCATCAGTAGCCATGAGGTTTAGCTTTGCAGTTAAGAGCAAAAGCATTTGATATCACAGCCTAGTGAGTAAATGTACTTTGAAGAAATTTAATAGGAATGGGAAATGTTTCAATATACACAAGTTGGCTCCTTGTGCAAACTGTACATTTACAACTGCTTTTGTTTCTAAATGTTCAGAGTATCGCCCCCCAAGGCAATCTTCTGAATCATCTATTTTATTAAGGCAGTCACATTTTTCCCAATATAAGAAAAATATAAAACTATTTTATTTTATTTCCTAAATCCACATGATTATTACATAGGCAGCTAATGGAAACTTAAATATGAGTGATACAAGATTTCCCATGAGTTTGTAGATTATTAAGTATATGTTCTCAGATTCCTTAGTTTACAGGACTTATAACCATGACACCCTAAGAGATTTTCAAAATAGTAGGGCAGTCAATTCTATTTATCGTACAACCATAACTGAGCAGTTGTGAAAAGTAAAATAAACTGGACTATGAAGGCTCTGGATGAACAATATTCAATTACATATTAGCTAATTCATTTTCAAACCTCTACATCTGAAAAACATTACCCATTCCAAATTCTTTTTCTTCCATAGTCCACTCACATTCTTACACAAACATCCAGATCAAAGAAGACTAAGTAATAAGCACAAGCGTTTGCTTACCCTCCGTCCACTATCACATTGCAATGACAAAATAGATATAATTACAGTGCACTGAAAACAACAGCAGACCAGAAATTCTGATTTCTGGGAGACAGCAAATGAGATCATATGAATAATGAAAGACCTAAGTGGAGAAATACAAATTAAAACACACATTGGAGGAGGCCCTAACTGGTTTGGAAGCCATTCTTTTTGGGCCAAATATTCTAATTTTAACAAGTAGCAGTAGCTTTAGGGCAACAATCAGGATAGTTAACTAGACGGCTACGTAGGAGTACCTAGGCTGGCCCTCTCCCTTGCACATGGAACAGCTGGATGCAGTATGAACCCCAACCTGGGGCCCAAGACCAGGTCTCTACAGAGTGTGCCTATGGAGGGCCCCGGATGTGGTAGCTAGGACCAGGAAGCGAAGTAGAGCAGGGCCCAAGGGGACTTAAGACTTCTGCAACAGACTCATAATGGGGGAAGGTGGGAGTCTGCCCAGAAGTTAAATAAACTAAATGGCTCCACCTGACAAGTCCTGCCCATTTTGCCAACAGGGCAAGATAACTTAAGGGGAAGTCTTCCTGTGGAGAGCTCCTACCCACTTAGGGCCTAAAAGCATTTAAAATTTGCATGCATGGGTGCAAAGGATCCTTCCTCCCTCCCCCTCTCTCTCCACCAGCAAATCCCAACTCAGCTCT